CAGGGCCTAAAGCCCCATGTTATCTCTTCCTCTCACCAAATTACTTCGGGCCATTTACACCTCTCCTTCCCCAACCAGCTCGGCTTCCTTCTCTTCCCACGCCTTTTGTGAAACTCTCTGCCTGTCCCACCGCTGGTCCCATGCTTGTTTATGGGGATTTCTCAGAGGCTTCTGTGGATGTGTTCGGAGATCTCAAATGGCAAACAGTGTTTTTCCAAATTCTATTTTTCCACCCTGTAATTTAAAGACCGACACAATCATCTAAGCCTTATCCCCTTACCCCGCCATCATTTTTATTTTGCATTTTCTTTAACAGTCTTCATTCAGATGAATCCATCTTGAGCTCACCATCATGCTTTGCGAAGTCTTCATCCTTTTCTTGTGTGATCCCGTTAAGCTAATGTTTTTAGTAGTGGACATCCAGTTGGCTTCAGTCTTTCACTATTGAAAGCCTTGCTTGTGTTTAACACCTAACTCACAAACTGGAGTAAACTGGTATATTATATACATTAGTCATGTATGTGTATTTACAAATCTAAATATCTATTGCAACATAGGACGACTTTTTTTAGACTTTCATAGCTCCCTTTGTTTCAAACTATGATGCAATTTTTTCTGAAGCTCATTGAGACGGTTTATACACAAACTATGCCGGTTTATACACAAACTATGCCGCGTGAGGCAGTGCAGGTAGGTGCTCTGAGAGATGGCTTCCTCCGCCCTACAGGCATCTGAGCCTCTCCCAGGTCCGATGCCGCCTCCGTCTTGCGGCTGCTTTCCTGAGTAGAAGCAGACTGTAACAGACGGCTCCTGGCAGCGTGGGGGCCCTTCAACTCCAGCGAGGGAACCAGGACTTCAGAACCCTGCCACACTCTCTCACTTCACATTTATCCTCATGTTTTAATTTCCTGTATTTACAGTTTTTTTCATAGGTATTCCAAAGGTTCTCCATTGAATCATCTCATTAAAACCCCTCTTAAAAGACCCCTCAAACTTTTAAGTTAGTAAGAGATAGATATGATTCATTCCTTTGAGAAAAAGTAAACTGAGGCACAGCCTGACTGGCCAGCGGGGCCTTGCAATGCCTTCCAACAGACCCCTGTTGGCCTTAAATGGGGAATCAGTCAGATTTTGCTTGGAGACATTTTGTTCCATTGAAATAATTGGAGAAGCTCTTTTTTCCACAGGCATACTGCTTGCACTTCATCATGTGTATTATTTTAGATTTGCTTCAAAAAGAAAAATGGCCTTTCATGGCCTATATAAAATGTGGGCAGAAATTGGACTACGCAGACACAGAACTCTGCACAGAAATGGAAAATATTCAGAGCGAACACCCACACTTGCCACCGACGTTCACCCAGAGAAGCGAGCCCCGTCACTGGCCCCACACCTGAGTGTCTCCTCCGCCCGAGACCCCCACAAGCCAGGCAGCCTCTTCCCCCCAGGCCTGCCTTCACACGGGCTTTATCCATCCTTGGGTGGCTGTGATAGGAAGGTCCAGGAGTTTCCTGCCCATGTGCACTAATGTGTTCTGCGTGCCTGCGCCCTGGATCCACCTGTGGAGGCCTGGAGAGACCCAGGCAGCCTAGTCTCCTCCACACCTGAGGAAAGAAAGTGGTTGCCCCCAGAACGGAGGAGCTGACTGAGAAGCTCAACTCCTGGGACCGCCAAGTATCCTGGAAGCCAGTGGGTATAGGTTTCCCCTGCTCTCTTCACAACAGGGGCCTTCTCTGAGCCACCTCCTCCCTCTGTCCCTTCCCCTCCCCAGGGCCCAATGTCTCTAATGAAGGAAACGATGATGCCAAGCAGTCAGCACTGAAGTTTCAGAGAGGTTCTGTATCTTTTAAAAAAGAAAGACAGAAAAAAGAGGTGACGTCTCACCCTGCAGCCAAAAGGACCTAAATCCAGCCAGCAGATGAAGGAGAAGGGGCACCCTGTGCGCGTCCACCTGGGGGTTTCAGAGGCATCACGAGCGGGGGAAGGGGGCTTCCCTGCAATGCTCCTCCCCTTCACACGGTTTCCTCCCTATGGTCAGCAGTGAGCCCTTCCAAATATGAGGGAATTTGCACCCGTAGGCCTCGTGCGTCCTCAGAGAACGTGTGGCAGTAAAAATCTTCCCAGTTCTGGAGCTCTGTCTGATCTCTTTTCTAATACCACCCACATTCTGTCTTCCATCTCTCCACATCCACCTAATGTCAAACTTTAAGAAGAATGAATATTAAATGGCCAGCAATGGGGCACCTCGGGAGGGTCAACTGAGGCCATCAGGGGACACACCAGAGTGAATGCCTCAAAATTCTAGAAACTCTTCCTAAGAGAAAGAAGAGTTATGCATCCATCATTTTCTTTTTTGCCCCAAATGTAGACACTTACAATATTTGTTTGTCTGCTGGATAAACTGAACGTGACGCTAACACTGGAAACCCAGATCTGGCCATATCAGAGACATTTGTTTTTAAAGGGACATTGCCAAGGGCATTGAATCCGGCACTTGACCTGTATTTCATATTACTCTGATCTAGTCGGGGATGCCTTCTGGGTTCTAAATTTCTACTTGGAAACTGTCTGGCACAGCCAGAAAATAAAGCCCAACTCTCCTTTTATGAGATTTATAGCAGTCTGCCATCACCATCTGACAATTGAATCTCATTGAAATCGGCAGAGCTGTAGAGATATCATCAGGAAAGCTGACATACAAAGCAGCAAGAAGGAAAAGTAGAATAAGAAAAACTTGTTTATTTTACTCCCGTTAGTGCATAATCAAGGGAAATGCAAAATTTACCCAACTAAGGAGAAATGCAAGGTATAGTTTTCTCAAGCTTTGTTTAGAAGCAAAAGGACCCTCCACTACACTCCAGTCCAGGGAACAAAGACTGTGTGTGTGTGTGTGTGTGTGTGTATGTGCGTGAATGCATATACATATATATTCATATATACACACATCTATATTCATACGAATATATGAAAATATTATTGCCATGCATTAGCTCTCTCTTTTAAAATATCCAAAGACAACCTGACAACCTGAAATGAACCAATCAGGAGGACCTGGGTGAATCTGAGCCCATTCCAGAACAAACAGTTGGCAACAGTAAGAGTGGTGTTTACTAGAAAACTAACCTACTTCCAGCAGACGGTAGACAATGTGACTGAGATTAAACAAAATGTGCGGCTGTGCTTGCCTTGATGATGGAAGGGTGGAGTTGCATCTGTTTTCCTATTATGTAAAACCCCTGCCCCGCTCCTGCCAAAACATTCTCCCGGTGACACGTCTGCCTGCCTCTGGACGAGTTCCTTACTAAAACAATACGCCTAACACAGCGTCTTTGATAGCAAATGCTCACAAAGGCAAACAATGAAAACTCCAAGGGTGCGTTTCTGAGGATGGCACTGGGCGCCATGCAGAATTACCACACACAAAAGCAAAACAGTGCTGCGGGCTGACTGGGCCAGGCCTCAGATGCCAGCAACTTTTAGTAACTTGCTCTTTCTCGCGAGTAACTAATTTTCCCCGAGCTGGGCAGCCCGCAGTCCTTCCCTAAGAAGTCACCCTGTGTGTAACTGTTGTGTCTTTGAGCCAAGTGAGAACTACTCGAGCAAAGTATTCTTATAAGCACAAATCTCACAAAGAAAAGGAGAGTGTCTCATGGACGATCCTGGCACCCTATAAAACTGCAATTCAACCTTATCTAATCTGGTGCGTGTTTCATCACAGGGACATACAATAATGTAAGCCTTTGTGCTGAAGGAGGAAGGAAAGGCTCTCACACACGGGCGAGGTGGTGGGGGTCTGTGACCTGGCCTGGACTTTCTGCTGAGCTCTCAGTAAGGACTTAGAGGTCCTGGGGCTGGTAGGTGAGAAAATGATGGATGGGCCGGGTGGGCGACGGCAGGAATGGCTTGGAGAAGGCTTCCTCTTACCATCTGCTCAGGAAGGACGTCAGGGCCAGACTAAACACAGGCCGGCTCGGCTGCAGTGTGCGAGCTTGTGCGCCTGCCCGCCAGCCTTTAAAAGCACCTTCCTGCGAGCGACGGGGGAGAAACGGGGAGACCAGGCGCCCTGATCCATTGGCTGGTCTTGAGGAGAAGCAGGGCTGCCCTAGACTGTCGCCGTGGCCACAGCCGGTGGGGCCGGGAGCTCTCTGGGGAGTCTGGACCTCAGTACCCCAGGCCCCAATCCACCAGGACTGGGCCTCTCCGGCTCTTCCAGGGAAGAGGGCACCTGGGCACCCCTGTAGCTGGCCAGATCCTGGGACAGTACAGCCCCTGTTGCCCTGCACGCCCCTTGGTGGCCAAACACCTCTGGAGGCTGAGGTCTTGGGCCTCCTCTGGCTCTGCATTCCAGGTTCTCTTCCCTTCCCCAAGTTTGGCCTTTGGGTTAATCGTCCAAGCCCAAGCCAAGCTTTAGTTGGGCAAGAGAGGAATTCCTGGAAAAGGAAAAAGCCCCTCCCCTCTTGGCCCACTATTCATTTTCCCTGACACCCACCTCTCTCCTTTTCTCCGCTCCTACTCCACCCTGAGCCTCAAGGCCCACCTGGCCAAAGACAGCAGCTGCATTAGACCCTAGGCCTTGGTGGGACTGGAGGCAGGGGTGCAGGGGTGCCGGGGCATGTGCTAGGGGTAAGCGGCACTAGACTGCAAGTCCTGGTTGGGAGTCCTCCTTATCATGGGCCAGCTCTCTTCTGAGAGCCTCAGTTTCCCTCTCTGTGATGCCAAGGTTTTGACTTTGGTGACTTCTGGACAGCCCTGACATAGTGTCCTGGAGGTGAGCTACAACCTGAAACCCACCTTCTGCTTCCTGTCCCTCCTCCAGCCTCCTCTGGCCGATGTCTGCCATGGGTCCGAGAGGAAGTGCTCTGACTTCCTCAGTGTCCTGGGGCTCCTGCCTGTCTCCCCACTCTGTCTGGAGCTGTGGGTAAGGGTAGGCCCACCATGGAGGCGGGGGCAGGAAAGAGCCTCTCTGCTTTATGTGGTGTTTCCTGGAGAATCTTCTTTGGGGAAACTAAATGGAGAGGAAAGCAGGAGAGGAGCCACCAGGTAGCATCCAGGAAGAGAAACATGCATTCACCAGCAGGTCCTTTATTCAACCATACAGAATGTCTGTGCCCAAATATATGCCATTTTCCTGTTCATGCACTTATACCAGTTTCTTCTCATAGCACTGGCACGAGCAGCTCTAGAAAAGTATGGAAGGGTGCCGTTAAACCAGCCCAGTGCAAGTCAAAATGTGTACACATATATAATAGATTTGAGGGTTGCTGTGGGTCAACATCCTTCCCATGGGAATTCATATTTAGCTTCATGGATGTCTGCAAAGCATGTTCTGTTATACTCCAAGCTGCTAGAAGAAGGCCAAACACAGAGCAGGCCTTTACGTGTTTGTTGATTACATGGATTAGTAAATGTATCATTGATCTGAAATGCACTTTTTTTTTTTTTACATTTTAGCAATTGAAACAGAGATGAGATTTACCACTGATGATATTTAAGAATTTAGTTTTTTCCCCTCTTAGTGGCTCATAAGCACCATACCTTATCATAAATGGAGTCTTAGAACCAGTGAGATCCTGCAGCGTGCAATTCCAAAGGCTGTGTCACCTTGGGCAAGCTCTTTCTTCTCTTTAAGCTCGGTTTTCTCACCTATAAGATGCAGATCATAGCATCCATGTCAGAGTCCTTGTGAGGATTAAGTGGAAGGAGTATTTAAATCATGCAGCAGGATGATCGCATACTAAGTGTTCTATGCATCTTCCCTGGTCTTATAACTGTGGTTATTAATATCTGTGCTTAACAATGGAGAAACAAATGAAACAAATTCACCTTTCATTAGTGTGCACACTGCCCCAAACCCCTTTTTTGTGTGTGGCGGGGTGGGGGGGGGGGAGCGCTGCTCCATCTAGTGAATGGGAAGATTTTCTAATTCCCACTGGGTCCTTGTGACCCCGAGCCGAAGTGGACCTTTAGTAAATGTAAATTCCGGATTTGTCTGCTGCGTTAACTTATAGTCAACCCGGTTGGACTAAAAAGAATTACCAGGGCAACCACAGCTAAACACTACAGAGCAAGCACCTCCTTTCCTCGCATACATTTATTTCTATTTAATATTCTGTGGAAATGCGCCTATTTGCCATAGTTTGTCTTTTTTATTTCTTCACTTCCAAACTAAACATCGCTAATCCGAATGCATACCTCTCTGCGTGCCAGCGTTTCGCCTGTGTCTATGTCTGCTGCATATGTAAATATCGGCAAGATTCTCTGTGGGCAAAGCCAGAGGTGTGCCTGGTCCCTGTTCCCATAGGTGACTTCGGGGTGTGTAACTGCACGTGGGGGTGTGGGACCTCGCCAGCACCGCCACTCACTGGTCCTGTTCTCGAAACTGGTTCTTTGGAGGCTCGGTTTTTGGTAATTAAGACTAAGGAGTGATTAAAAAACAGAAGTACATTTTCCTGGAAACCAGCAGTCTTTATTTGCAACTTTTATTGGCAAACCTGGCTGCCAGTAAATACATTCCTTGGCATCTCCCAGAATGTAATTCATTTGATGGAGCAGCCTTGCTTTTTCTGTAACGTGTACATCAATTAAAAGGGCCGCCTGGAAGGAATGTGTAGCGGTCGCTGAAAGCCTGTCTCAGGTCACCTCCCTCCACTCCAGGAACAAAAGCGTCCCTGGTCTGTGCCTGGGAGTCTGACATGGTCTCCCCGATGGGACTATTCCCGCCTGGACCCTGAGGGATGAGAGTTGCAGGGTTCGAAGAACAGGTGACAGGCTCTGCGGAGTGCTACTCCGGCGGCGTGGTCTGTCCCAAGCCCCCTTCCCCAGGGAGCCGGTTTCCAGGGGACGCTGCGGAGGGATGGGCTGGGCCGGCTCTTGGAGTCCGGCGTGGATAGAGGCGCCGCAGAGACGAAGCCTCCGACGGCAGGGGGCGCTCGTAGCACGCGCAGTGCCCTGTGCAGGCGCCCAGGACGGCTGCCTGGCCCCGTGTTCCCAAGGTGCGGGACCTGCCGGGGTCTTGTCCTCCAGCCTAAGAGCCCCAGTCTGGGTCGGCCAAGCGGCCTCCGGGCTTCCACATCGCCCTTCCTCTTCCTACGCTTGCGGGGAAGCGGCAGGAAACCTGTGGAGGGCGGCCAGGGCGCAGGCCACCAGATCACCAGGCCACGCTTCCAGGCGTCGACCCACTAGCGAGGACCAGCAGTCGCCGGCGGCATCGGTCCTCAGGCCCTCCGGGGAGGCCAGTTGCACCTAGCCAGGTGTCCGCCTTGTCCCTGCCCTGAGAGGTGCAAACACCCACCCCGGCCCAGTGCCCCGGAGCTGCTGCCCAGAAGGTTCGGAGCGCGGGGCCCAGCCCCGGCCGCGGTGGCACGCCTTGAGGAAGGTCCCAAGGCGCAGGGCTCCGCGAAGGTAGCTCTTGGAAGGGAGGCTCACGGCAGCCCCCGCGCCTGGATCCGCTGCGGCGCTGGGCGGGAGACCCAGGAACAGCCCGCCTGCAAGGTGCAGGCCACCTCACCCCGCCGGCGGCTCCGGAGCTCTCTGTGGGTCTGTCTCACCGAGCAAAGCCTTTCTCCTTCGACACCCATAGCCAGGCGCGCTTTCCGCTTCAGCCCCAGGAAGGCGCCTTCGCCCTGCGGTCCTCTGATGGCCGGCGACTGCGGCACTCCGCACCCTGGCTCTGGCAGGCTCTAGGGCCTGGAGACCCGCCCGCCCTGCGCGGCGCCCCCCTCCCCCCCGCCACGTGAGCCAAGGTTGGGAGGCTGCTGGCCTCTGTCCTCCCAGGCCCTGGAGTGCGGCGGCCGCCCTGAGTCCGCTGGGGACCTGGATGGGGAGAAACCGGGGCTCGGGCGTGCACACACGCACCATTTGTTCTTTCCGATCATCCAACCCTTTACAAATGTTCATTATGGATTGTTAATGCAAGATGACAATTTGAATCTTCATTTACCTCTGCCTGAACACAGGAAGCCCTGAATCTTTCGAAGCCGGAGACCAAAGTTAACGATTTATTTCCCGCATTCCCTGTGAACCCCTTTTGCACCTTAGCTTGGCTCTGAGTCCCTGAAACGCCCTTCGAGGCGAGTGCTTTCCTGCAAAGGGGCGACAGGTGGGCCAACCCGAGGCGAGAACGAGCAGGTGTTGGCTGGCTTTCTCCTGGGTAATTAGAGGCGCCGCCCATCTAGGGGAGTTAGGATATGACATTAAATTATCCCGTCATACAAACTTCTCGTGGAGGTCCGCCCCTAGGAGGGCAACTATTGGATTAATCCAATCATGTAGACAGGCAATATGGATCACTTTGCCTTGAAAACAATCGAAAACCAAACGCTCTTTTCGTTTATTGTAGAAATTATTTTTCTACTAAGGAGGGGGCTGAATTGGAGGGACTGTCCTAACAAAACCTCTACTTGAAAATCCCCCAGCTAGGGAGGATCTGCCTGGAGTCGTGGTCACCCAGACGTCCGGTCCCCCTTCTTCCTCCACTGAAAAGTCGCACCGTTGACAAACGTTACCTGCCGGCACCGTGGTTTGAAAACGAATACAGGGTATTGATACCAGCATAACCTCCCCTACCCCTGGGCTTCTGGTCTTAGCAAAGAAAGCCAAATGGAGAACTAAGACAATTATCTAAATAGTCTAAATAGCTCAAACACTCCCAAGCAGATCTTGCTCCAGTGGTCTGTGATGGCAGCCTAGTAGGCAGTTTTCCAGTGGCCCTCCGGTGTTAATCGCCTTAATCTTCCACTTCATCTTCCCCAGCAAAGGGAAAGATGCTAAGGCAGCTGTGGACTTGCAGCCTCCCTCCTATGCAGACTCCCAGGAATCACTGTCCCGAGTGGAGGAGGAGAAGCGCATTCCCTCATGTTCTAAGCCTGCTTTTTCCGTAGTCCCCCAGCTCCCGGGCCAGGCGGCGCCTCCTTGAAGCTGGTTCCTACCTGGGCCCGCCTCCCCAGTCCATCCCACAGTTCGGCTTCCAGAGCTGAACCCAGGGCCCAGAGCCTGGGGAACCCAGAAAGCGGGGAGGTAAAAGAGAGGGCAACTAGGCACATCACAGAGGCGATTGGACTGCGACGGGGGACAATTTGCACAGCAAGGGCTGAGCTCACACCCCTAGGGAGTGATTTTTCCGGACTGCCCCCATCCCAATCTCCACTCCCTGTACTTTACTTACAAAAGAAAAAAGAAAAGAGTTCCTTCTGGCTCTTGGTGACCCGCGTTTAGGACATCATCTCATCCCCCAGCACACACATTCCTACAGTGTCACCTGGTCTCCAATCCGAGCATTTCCTGGAGTGCTAGCCACATTCCCCTTCCTGGTGCTTTTCTTTGGTGGGGCCCGGGGAGGCCTTGTTTCGAAGTCGCTGTGACGTCACTCCCCTCGAGCTAAGCACCCCTCGTTGGGCCCTAGGAATTGTAGCCTTGCCTGCTGAGGAGGGGCGGAGTGTGGGCCCAAGGACGGTTCCACCAAACATCCATTACCGCTGTCGCCTGCGGGGCCTTCTGGCTGCAAGTACTCTAGGTGTCAGAAAAGAAGCTGTAGAGTTCCTGTGGGGGCTCTTCTGCCAACTGAGTCAAGGGATGTGCCAAAGGGGATGACTGAAGTATCCCATGGAGTAGCAGAAAGGGGCGTCAAAAGCTTTAACCTCAAAATAAAAACTTTAACCTGTTCCCCCAAAAGACTCTATGTCTGCGTCTTATGTTCAAATAATACAACTAACAACAATAATTAAATAAGCGCTTGAAATACAATCAAGACGCTTACTGGAGGCTTGCTTCCGAGCAAATTTATAAAACACAAATGCAAATATCTTTTCCTGGAGAATATCCAGATCTAAACCAGTGGAAAGTTGATATTGATAAAACTACACCCCTCCATTTTTTTTTTTTTTTTTTTGCATGCCGGATACTAATTTCACAACGGCAACTTTTATACCCAAAGCGAAGAGCGGAGAACACCGCTGCTGTTCGATTTTCAATTTACATAACAAGCTGTTTACACTTCACTGGGCCATAGGAGGGAGGAGTCGGGGAAGCACGGGAGGCGACGGGGCTGATGGGGGAGGGGGCAGCCGGGCACGATTGCCTGTTGCAAAACTCCGGCCGAAGGCATTTCCCGCATTCGGAAAACAAAGCATCCGTAATCGCTGCGTTCATCTCCGCGCACCGCTAGCAGTGCAAAAAACAGCTTAAAGACCGAATTCACCAAACGTTGAGGTGTTGAGGAAGATCACTGCAGTCTCCTCCAGGCTGAAGCCTGCCTAAAGCTTCGACCAAGGGGGCTAAGACCGTCAGGCTGCCGGAGTGGGGGCTGGCTGAACACGAATTAAGTGTTCAAGTCAAGGGGCTTCACCACCACCCTCGCCCCTGTCTAGTGTCCTTGGCCACCAGCAAGTACTGAGCCTCCTGTCGGTGCTTCTCCAACCCACCAGTGACTTGGCCTGCAAAGCACCTGGAAAGGGAGTCTCCAGAGATCCCGGCGCACAGCAGGCCAGGAGGTAGCTGCCTCGGGATTCAGAGCAACCTCGGAGCAACCCTCTCTCCTCCAAAGGCTAATTCTAGAAGGGGCAGGTCCTCCTTCCCTCGATGTCAATGTCCATTATGAAACAATAATTTTTAAATGTTCAGGTGACACAGAGATGCGCCTGCTACACGTCAGCGTCCTTCACATGTAATAGCGAAGCTGCAATTTGAATTTTCCTGCCAACGTGAGGAAGCCCGGATTGGAACCGAGGAGACAAAAGGGCCCCGAACAAGTCCTTGGAGTTTAGAGATGTTCGGAAATCAGGGGGAGCGGAGGTGTTAAATGCGTCACACACGCTCCGCGAAACTCGCCACTTCCCCCAACTTCTAGTGAACGACCTAGGATTCAGCCTCCAGGAGGGTCTCTCCTAAACTCTCTGAAAGGCAGAATCGCCGTGCAGGGGGGAGGGAGGCCCGGCTCTTCCTGCTCCTCCGTTTCTTTCCCTCATTTCTCTTGTTCTACCCCATTCGAACCACTCAGCGAAGGCAAATCTCAGGCGTGTGCACAAGGAGCGGGAACTCTTTTGTGCGTATCCCCCCGTAATCTCTGAACCGCCCCGCAGGTGCGATCCCATACGTTCCTCCAGACACACCCGTTATCTCTGCGAGCCTGCAGCCCCGCGCGTGTGGAGATGGAGACTGGCCTGGGGAAGTGTTAAGCTCTTAGACATATTTATTTGCTTCTTGTCAACACACCTGCTAATGTCACCGAGCCCGAAGCCTGACCCCTCATCTGAGCCGAAACGCGCGTGGCGGGACCAGAGCGGGCGGCGGCGCGGGGAGCCGGAGGGACCCTCGTGCGCGAGCAAGGGAGCGCGGAGAGGCAGCCGGGCTTTGGCAGCTCTGGACGCCCGCACCTTCAGGTCGCCAAGGCCCTCCCGGGGAGGGGGGAGAGGAGCAGGGCGGCCCACAGTGAGGAGGGCTCATCCTAAGGGGGTGAACGGCCGTCAGAAACTCCCAGCCGGGCCCCGCACCCCTTGCCTGAATTTCTATTGTGGAGGGGTCATGGAGGAGAGCGAGATGGGCGACGAACCTTCTTCTCCGCCGGGAACAGGGCCTCGGAACCGAGCCCTCAAAATCGTGTCCTTTGTAGCCGAGTTCAGGACAGAAGAACCTCCAAGTGGAGAAAAGCCGGAGACGTCAGTGACCCGAGTGAGACTGACGTTGGAGAAGGGAGGAAAGGGGCTGCGGGGAGGAGAGGCAGGGGCAACCAACCCAGCGGTGGCGTCGGCGGGTTTGGCGAAGGAATGGGAACTAGCCAGCGCGAGGCGGGGTGGAGACGCCGGGGCCGTTCCGGAGCCGTGGACGAAGGAAGAGTCTGCACCCGGCCCGGGAGGACCCTGAAAGTCTGCGCGAACAGCGGGCGTGCGTCCGGAGGGCCCGGGGTGGGAGGCCCGCTGGGCGCCGGCGGCGGGCAGGTGGACTGCGGGGGGCGAACCGACGGCGGTCAGGCGCAGGCGCGGGGCCGGGACCGGGGCCGGGGCCAGGGCGGCCGGCGCGCGTGTGGTCAGCCCCGTGGTCCTCCAGCCTCCGGGAGCGGGCCGGCGGGGATCGGCCTCCGGCTCATTCAGAGGCGGTTCTCACTTCCCATTGGTTGCCGGCGCTGGCGGGGCGGGGCTCCGCTGCCCGGAAAAATGTGTAACTGCGTAAAAAAGTCCTCGCCTGGGTGACGGATGCTCAAAAGTTCAGAAGTTTTCCCAATGCTTCCTTAAGCGGCTGGCGCGCGAGAGACCGAGAAAAGGTGACGCGGGGCCCGGGCAGGCGGCGGGCGCGCGCCCCCCCCCCCCGCCCTGGTTATTTGGCCACCTTCGCCGGCAGCTCCGGGCAGAGTCTCCTGGAAGGCGCAGGCAGTGTGGCGAGAAGGGCGCCTGCTTGTTCTTTCTTTTTGGCTGCTTTTCCCCGTTTGCGCCTGGAAGCTGCGCCGCAAGTTCCTGCAAGGCGGTCTGCCGCGGCCCGCCCCGGCCTTCTCCCCTCTCAGCGACCCCGCCTCGCGGCCGCGCGGGCCCAGAAGTAGCCCCAGCCGCCGGAGGAGCCAGCCCCAGCAAGCGCCGGGAGAGGCGGCAGCGCGGCCGGACGCACAGCGCAGCGGGCCGGCAGCAGTTTGGCCGGGCCCGGACTCGGATTCGGCGGCCGGCGCGGCGCGGCCCGGCCCGAGCGAGGGTGGGGGGCGGCGGGCGGCGCGGGGCGGCGGCGGCGGCGGCGAGCCGGGGCCATGCAGGCGCGCTACTCCGTGTCCAGCCCCAACTCCCTGGGAGTGGTGCCCTACCTCGGCGGCGAGCAGAGCTACTACCGCGCGGCGGCCGCGGCGGCCGGGGGCGGTTACACCGCCATGCCGGCCCCCATGAGCGTGTACTCGCACCCCGCGCACGCCGAGCAGTACCCGGGCGGCATGGCCCGCGCCTACGGGCCCTACACCCCGCAGCCGCAGCCCAAGGACATGGTGAAGCCGCCCTATAGCTACATCGCGCTCATTACCATGGCCATCCAGAACGCCCCGGACAAGAAGATCACCCTGAACGGCATCTACCAGTTCATCATGGACCGCTTCCCTTTCTACCGGGACAACAAGCAGGGCTGGCAGAACAGCATCCGCCACAACCTCTCGCTCAACGAGTGCTTCGTCAAGGTGCCGCGCGACGACAAGAAGCCGGGCAAGGGCAGCTACTGGACGCTGGACCCGGACTCCTACAACATGTTCGAGAACGGCAGCTTCCTGCGGCGGCGGCGGCGCTTCAAGAAGAAGGACGCGGTGAAGGACAAGGAGGAGAAGGACCGGCTGCACCTCAAGGAGCCGCCCCCTCCCGGCCGCCAGCCCCAGCCCGCGCCGCCCGAACAGGCCGACGGCAACGCGCCCGGCCCGCAGCCGCCGCCTGTGCGCATCCAGGACATCAAAACCGAGAACGGTACGTGCCCCTCGCCGCCCCAGCCCCTGTCCCCGGCCGCCGCCCTGGGCAGCGGCAGCGCCGCCGCGGTGCCCAAGATCGAGAGCCCCGACAGCAGCAGCAGCAGCCTGTCTAGCGGGAGCAGCCCCCCCGGCAGCCTGCCGTCGGCGCGGCCGCTCAGCCTGGACGGTGCGGAGTCCGCGCCGCCGCCGCCGCCCGCGCCCTCTGCGCCGCCGCCGCCGCACCACAGCCAGGGCTTCAGCGTGGACAACATTATGACGTCGCTGCGGGGGTCGCCGCAGGGCGCGGCCGCGGAGCTCGGCTCGGGCCTTCTGGCCTCGGCGGCCGCGTCTTCGCGCCCAGGGATCGCACCCCCGCTGGCGCTCGGCGCCTACTCGCCCGGCCAGAGCTCCCTCTACAGCTCCCCCTGCAGCCAGAGCTCCAGTGCGGGCAGCTCGGGCGGCGGCGGCGCGGGGGGCACGGGGGGCGCGGGCGGCGCCGGGACCTACCACTGCAATTTGCAGGCCATGAGCCTGTACGCGGCCGGCGAGCGCGGGGGCCACTTGCAGGGCGCACCCGGGGGTGCGGGTGGCTCGGCAGTGGACGACCCCCTGCCCGACTACTCTCTGCCTCCGGTCACCAGCAGCAGCTCGTCGTCCCTGAGTCACGGCGGCGGCGGCAGCGGAGGAGGAGGCCAGGAGGCCGGCCACCACCCTGCGGCCCACCAAGGCCGCCTCACTTCGTGGTACCTGAACCAGGCAGGTGGAGACCTGGGCCACTTGGCGAGTGCGGCGGCGGCGGCAGCCGCGGGCTACCCGGGCCAGCAGCAGAACTTCCACTCGGTGCGGGAGATGTTCGAGTCGCAGAGGATCGGCTTGAACAACTCTCCAGTGAACGGGAATAGTAGCTGTCAGATGGCCTTTCCTTCCAGCCAGTCTCTGTACCGCACGTCTGGAGCTTTCGTCTACGACTGTAGCAAGTTTTGACACCCCCTCAAAGCCGAACTGAATCGAACCCTAATGCAGGAAAAGCCAAAGGAACCCGTCAAGGCAAAATCGAAACTAAAAAAAAAAAAATCTGATTAAGAAAAAACCCTGAGAATATTCACCACACCAGCAAACAGAATATCCCTCCAAAAACTCAGCTCACCAGCACCAGCACGAAGAAACCTGTTTTCTTAACAGATTAATTCAGAGCCACCTCCACTTTGCCTTATCTAAATAAACCGGTAAACTGTTTTGTACAAAGACAGCAAAATCATGGTTTTTTAAAGGACAGTGTTACTCCAGATAACACGTAAGTTTCTTCTTGCTTTTCAGAGACCTGCTTTCCCGTCCTCCCCTCTCCCCTCTCTTGCCTTCGTCCTTGCCTCTCACCTGTAAGATATTATTTTATCCTATGTTGAAGGGAGGGGGAAAGACCCCATTTATGAAAGTCGCTCTCTTTTTATTCATGGACTTGTTTTAAAATGTAAATTGCAACATAGTAATTTATTTTTAATTTGTAGTTGGATGTCGTGGACCAAACGCCAGAAAGTTTCCAAAACCTGACGTTAAATCGCCTGAAACTTTAAATTGTGCTGTTTTCTCATTATAAAAAGGGAAACTGTATTAATCTTATTCTATCCTCTTTTCTTTCCTTTTGTGGAACATATTCATTGTTTATTAATAAATTACCATTCAGTTTGAATGAGACCTATATGTCTGGATACTTTAATAGAGCTTTAATTATTACAAAAAAAGATTTCAGAGATAAAACACCAGAAGTTACCTATTCTCCACCTAAATCTCTGAAAAAAATGGAGAAGCCCTCTGATTAGTTCATGTCCAATTTTACTGAAGTCTTTTTGTTTAGATTTATCTTCTTGCAGCATCATCTGCAAAATGTACTAATAGTCAGCTTGCTTTGAAGCTAGTAAAAAGATATTTTTCTAAACAGATTGGAGTTGGCATATAAACAAATAAGTTTTCTTACTAATGACAGACCATGATTCGGAAATTTTAAGCCCATGAATCAGCTGCAGCCTTACCACAGTGATACCTGTGTGCTGAGTGATGGGACGGTTCAGCCAGATACGCACAGATAAATACTTGGCTTGTGTATTCCATATAAAATTGCAATTCATATTATACATCCCTGTGAGCCAGATGCTGAATAGATTTTTCCTACTAATTTCAGTCTTTTACAAAAGGAAAAATAAGACAGTTTTTAAGTGTATGTATATAATTCACCCCCATTTACAGTCCTTCATGTATTACATAGAAGGATTGCCTTTTAAAAAATATATTGCGGGTTGGAAAGGGATATTTAATCTTTGGGAAACTTTTAGAAGATATGTTTGTAGAACAATTATTTTTTCAAAAGATTTAAAGCAATAGCAAGAAGGAAGGCGAGAGGAGCAGAACATTTTGGTCTAGAATGGTTTCTTTTTAAACCAATTTTTCTTGTTAATTTACAGTTAAACCTAGGGAACAATCTGGGTTGGCCCTCCCCCTTTTGTAAATAACCCAGGAAATGTAATAAATTCATTATCTTTGGGTAATCTGCCCTGCCAATCAGACTTTGGGGAGATGGCGATTTGATTACAGGCGTTCGGGGGCCTTGCAGTTTGTTTTGGAGATAATACAGTTTCCTGCTATCTGCCGCTCCTATCTAGAGGCAACACTTAAGCAGTAATTGCTGTTGCTTGTTGTCAAAATTTGATCATTGTTAAAGGATTGCTGCAAATAAATACACTTTAATTTCAGTCAAAAACTGCTCTACGTGGCCTGTGATTCGCTCGGTCCCCTCCCCCAGGGTCGTAACCTAATCGCCGGGAAGATCGCTGCAGCTCTGGCGCGGTGTCTCCTCCGGGCAGGCGAGCTGGGGTTGGCCTCACAGCCCCGTTTAAATCTCGCTGGGCTGTCCCGCAGCTAAGTCCCGGGGCTGCCTCCAGCTTCTTCGGGTTACAGCCTCTTCCCGGACGGAGGAGGGGAGGGGGTGACGGTAAAGACTTATCGCCAGTCTCCAGGAGTTGGCGTGTTGCTCCACTTTGAGGAGCTGGGATTTGCGGACAAAGGCCCGCGGCCGGAGCTGGTTTGTCCAGGCCCGGAAGGGGAGCAGCACCAGGTGACACACGGCCCTGTCCCCACGGGCGGGCTGGCCCAGCCCGAGGCGGAGCAGCTCGGTCACCAGAGACTGTGCCGTTCTCGACGTGTCTGGTTGGGCTCTGTGGAGTAGGGGGTGGCGGGTGTAGACCCGCGCGGCCCACGCCTTGGCTTTCCGGCTGGGGCGTTTCTCGGCGGCCCAGTTTCTTCCGAGTCTCGCCCGCCTCGACGCCGGCCTCCTGGACGCCGCTCGCAACGGGAACGCTCTCCAGCTAATTAGCTGTAATTACCACGGTGGCCCGGGGCTCGGCTTCTGTTTGCGTTTGGAGCTCCTTCCTCCTCCCACCCCACTCCGCCGCCTCCCACCCCAGATGAGCCCCGGCCTCCGCGGCTTCCTTCTGAAATTAGTCGCTGGAGAAAACAGTCAAAGGAGACCCTTGTTACGTTAGCTGGCTTAATAGTAGGTTGGGTACGGGTGTCGGGAAGACCGCGAGAAGGGAGAGTGGCAGGCGCGGAGTGCCGGGGACAGGGACAGGGCGGGTGGGGGCCGCCGAGAAAGGAGATGCGCCCTCAGGGCTCTGGCCACGGCCCTTGGAGGAGCCCGCTCCCCTTCCCTGTCACCCCGCGACTCCGCCTGGTGCTGAGCGGCCCCGCCGAGTTCCCATTTCCTCCTCGCTGGCCTTTTTTGTTGTGAAGACACACGTGTGTTTAGGAGCGCAGCTGGGGTGGAAAGGTCAGAGGCACTTCATTGCTCACGGGTGACAGCTCGCCCCGCGCCGGCCCGCAGCCTCCAGGCGCGGGTCCCTGAGCTGCGCGTTTGCAGGACCATCCCAGACCCTCCCGGACCCCGGCCGCGGCCCACCCGCCTCTGCCTGGCCGCGCCAGACCTACCCCAGACAGTGCTGCTGCCCCAGGCGGCCTCCCCACGCGGTCTGTGAGGTCGGTTTGCAGAGGCCACCATTCAATTGGCAGTGACCGTGTGGGGAATCCCTCGGACTCATGGACGCCAGAAGCCCTTGGGCGAACGGCGGGCTCAGCGAGTTCGGGGCCCACGTGCCTGCAACGCTCCGCTCTCCTTGGGCCTCGGCTTTGCGGCCCTGAGAAGGTGGCGACTGCAGTCAGCCCCGACCTAGGCCCAGGTCGGTCCTGGAGAGCTCGGCTGGCTTTCTGCACCGTTCCCAGGGGCGGGAGCGAGCTGCTGGGGTGACCTAGGCTAGGGAAAGAGTCGGCGCGCTCCCAGCTGGAGGTCCTTCCAAGTCTGCCCTGCCGAAGAGTGGGCCTTGAGCAGCCCCTGCCCTTCCTTGCGGGGCTCCAGTCCCAGAAGCTGGAGAGGAAGCCGGTACAGGGTGAGCATGTGGTGCTGCGGTTTCTGCGGCCTGTGAGGAGCCCCTGGCCCGCAGGTCCGAGAGTGTTTACAGGCCTGCGCGAGCAAAGCTTCTTAGCAACTGCTTTACCCTTTCCATTCGAATGTTTGAAAATTAGGCATGGAGCATACATGTGTCTAAGAAGGTGTCTGTGCTAACCATATATGACGTCATTTCTGCACTCGTTGCCTGCGCAAGTTTAGAGACTATGTTGAGTGGAAGGAGAGGGGTTCTGCTCCTTATTCAGATTTTAAAAACCGTATCTATGTAATGTCCCCTACATGGATACCTTACCTTTTGGATTCTCACATCCGATTTAAGAAAACCAACTTCTGCCAACCTCATTTAACCTGGAACTGTTATTCCTTAGAGGTTTTCACGTTTAGCTTGTACTATTTTAGCAATAAGAATAATTTTTCTGTGAAATATTCTAAGAAAAACTCCTTGATATTTTGAAATGAGCCTGTGACGGCAGTCCAGATCCATGGTGGGGGATCGACTAATTTTGAAAATAGACTCTGTAAAAAGCTTTAGGAGAATAAGTATTTTGTCCTTTCTCTAGAAATGGGCACATTTGTTTTCTTAGAAATTTATGTCATGAGTGCATAAAGGCCAGCATGCTACATCCCATATGCAGTCTTGCATTTGGCATGTTGCACGTGTGGGAGAAACCCATGCTGAATTTTCCAGGGTTATGTTGTTAGCAGACCTTTTTTCACCAGACTGCATGTAAACAAGCACACATTTTACAATTTATTATTCCACAAAATTTGTGTCATTAATAATTGATGCTTGCAAAGGAATAAGCCTCGATTGTACTGGTGGCCTGTAAGCTCTTGGCCATTTCCTGCCGGGTCAGAAACAAGGGTCATGAAACAAGAGTGCCTTATAGTCCTGTTGGGCTCTCCCTAACTTTGATAGGTGAGGAGAGGACACAGGGCAGGAAGGGTCTCGTTTTTTCAGGTGGAGGGTCATTAGTTTTGTTCTTAATGGTGCAAAACCCAAGAGACCCTGAACTCCCCACAGGTTGAGGCTGCCTGGACAGATTGCTTAGGAGGGACAAGAGGTGTCCATATTTGATCAGGTCTCAGGCACCCATACCAGTGTTGTCTGAGATGTTGGTGGCAGCCAAAGCAAGGCTAGTTGGAGTGACAGTTTCCCTGTACTCCCGAACCACCTCTCAGAGCTGTGAGAGGGGCTCCCATTTTCGTGGGTCCCGTTCACCTCAGAGCCCAGCTCTGAGTCTCCTGCTCCTTGGGCCTTCCTGGTGTTGCAGGGCCTTCTCCACTATAGGCATTTCATGGACAGTTCATGAAGCCATTAGCCCTTCCCACCAGTCATAAACAAATGTCGTGTTAGGGGCAAGATTGATGGTGGCCAAGTCATAAAGCTGGCCAGGCAGGACAGAATATGATTGTGTGCAGGCAGCCATTCTCCAGCCAGGCAGAGAGACTGGGGTGTGGGACCAAGAGACTGGGTCAGTCTTCACACCACCAATCTGAAGGGGCAGCTCAGGAGAGCTCCCAGCAAGGGAAGTTTAATTTATCCTGACACTGTCCACTTAGGAAGAGAAACCCACTGAGATTTGCCACAGGGCCCCAAATGCTAGCTTCCAAAAGCCCACTTTCTGAAATCTCCCATTTCGATTTATAACACAGCCAAAAGGTTCCCTGCAAAGAGCTTTCATTATTGACGCTTTCCCTCCCACTCTAACACGAATGTCTTCCTTTGCAGTTGTGGCTGTAGCTTCTTGGCTGGAATTTCCGTGGCCTATTTCCCACCCCCACCCCGTTATCCCATCTCCCCCTTTTCAGTGTGAATGCACCATAACCATTAGGTTCTGTGAGTATTTGTGTCTCTGTCCCTTTGTCTCTGTTACTTCTCCCCATCCTTCTCCCGACCCCACCCAAGTTTCTCCTGGATGTCCCACTTCCAGCCCAGCTCTGGAAACTGCAGGCCCACCTTCCACTGCACCATGTGGGTGATGGGCCAGATTTGGCCCTGATGCCAAGCCTCAGACAGACTTGGGGCCTCAGACAGACTTGGGGCCAAACTGCCACGGGAATGGTAGGTTCCAGGTCCCAGTCGGCTGGGAAAGAAACAATACTTAAGTAAATGAATTCCAGCTCCAAAACCCATTCAGGAAAATGAAAGCTGCTTCTCCACGAACATTCTCAACATGATTACTAGTGGAAAATTGAGCAAAATGTACCATGTCCACCTTATTGAAAATCAAAGTACGACACAGCGAGCAGAAGGCTCAATTTATGACCTAAGCTGCTTTCCCATCTTACCCTGGCCCCAAAGAAACCCTCTGGTTTATATTATTTTTTTTGGTTGTTTGTTTTTTTCCTTCACTGATTTTAAATTTGCAGCATATTGAGCGTATTATGGGAGATACAGTAGGGACCTGGAATTTCCTTGCACATAGACTCAGGCCTGTCCTGGAGAAGGCTGGAGCTTGCACTGGGAGACAGAGCCAGAGAGAAAAGGCTGGGTCTGTGTGGTCCTCGGGAAGGCCTGGAATTGCTTCCCGCTCAGAATCTCCCTGCTGGTCTAGAGGATGCCTCCCTTTCTCCCAAAGAGCATTTTCTTTCTCTGGCCTGTCCACGGGCTCCTCCAAGCCCACTGATCTCCCTGGGTGTCATTAGGATATGACTTGTCTACCTTCTTCAGCAGCTGCGATTGCAGGCCTCCTACGGAGGGGACTCAGTGGGCTGCTCCTTGGCCCCCTAAGTCAACACAGCTTGGTGCTACTTGGGTGGGCATGGGATAGCAGTTTGTGAGCCCAGCAAGTGAGCATCGGAGTGGGAGCCAGGGCCAGGCAGTGAGGCCTCTGGCTTGACCTAAGTGGTGGAACCCTAGGCAGGGCCTAGAGAAGCAGAGGAGGCTCCAGGGAGGGGTTCCAGCGGGGTGGGGACATGGAACTCAAGGTTGGGAAAGGAAGGAGTTTGCTGGAGTGCTCTGAGGACGACTTAGATCCCGGGATCGGGGAGAGAGGGAGTTGGAAAGAGAGGGGAGGGAAGAGGGGGAGAGAGGGACATACCCCTCCCATTACCTACCCCCGGGGAAAAAGCAGGAAAACCAACACATTTAGCGCCATTAACTCTTAAGGCCTACACATTTCCTTCAGTACAAAAGCTGGTCACTGGGCCCGGAGGCTGCGCCGGGGCTCCTAAATGGCTACAAACGTACAAACCCGACCGGGGTGGGAAGCACATTTCAGCAGCGATCGGATTTTTAAAATCTGTTGGTAGAGAGAAAACAAAAATTGTCCTCCAAGTTGGCAAAATCGGCATCCCAG